CTTAGGAGACCATGCGGGCCGCAGCACACGTGAATCCCAACCGTCTCGGAGCGGGTAATCAGGGCGACAGGAAGACATATCAAATGAATGTCGTCACTTGTAATACTTGAACATACTTTGTGCATAACCAATTAAAGTTGGACCAACTTGGAGAAGTTACACGGTGAAAAACATGTTAAGCATGCAATAGCTAGGGAACACTCCGTAGACGGACCCAGAACTCGAAAATTTTGAAAAATATGAGCATCATCTCATAACGTGCTAACCATATACAAAATAAGGTGCTCCGTCTACAGTGGACGGTGTCCCCCAACAGCGTGAGGTTCAAAAATTCACAGTTATGCTCTGGTGACATTATTATTACGATATTATGACATTGAAAAAATGGGGGGCAAGCAAAGGAGAGATGTGAAATGCTCAGGGTAGGCTAGGTAACAAGGTTGGTGTAACCAAAACGCTAATTTCTTACTGCTCGTTTTATCTCGTATGTTGCTAGTAACCACTGTGTCAAGTCGATGGGATGGGGACGCTTGGCTGGTTTGGATCGATCCTTGTCAATCTGCTACTTCTTAACCTAAAAGTACATGCTGAATAAAAGAACTTGGCTGATCTGAAAGTGGGGTCCAGATTCAGTTTCAACTTGGTGTGTTTCAATCAGCTCTGAGCTAGAGCTTGAGAAGCTTTCTGCGCGATGGCTGCATCTCCTGGCACTGTCATATCTAGGTATCACCGTTCCTCCATGCGGCGAAAGCCTTTTCGTTTGTCCCACTACGGCTCATTTTCAATAACCTATGCCATTAGCAGGGTTCATTGTGTCATACTCAACAGCCACTGCTAAGCTGGAGGAATCTGAGGCGCGAAGGGAGGATGAACGGCTCATTTGTGCCTAGCTCGTGTTTCTTGAAACTCCCCATAACATGCGAACTTTACGAGTCTTCAATGTTCTAATGTTAAATGTTTACTGTTGGACCCTTTTGCATGTTCCGATCAAGAATTTATGTAGACATCGATCTTTTGGGTCTCGGAAACATGTTCACACCCATGTTTAGGGCTCAATCGCAACGTGGTGATGACTCCACGGTGTGTAGGAAGAGCGTGTGAGTAAAGTTTTCACGGTTCTCAGATTCCTCTTTCCCCGGAATGGCGTAACTGTACCGTGAACTCACAAATAAGGTCCCTTCCACCTCAGTTCAACGCCTTTTCGCTTAAAATGATTGAACATATACTGTTTGTACTATTTGGTATCTTTGAAGCGTATAAAGTTCCACTGCCGACGAAAAAGGGAGCCTACGCAATGAGGAGATACGAATCGATGTCGCAATGACGCAACCTAACCGGACTGGTTGCGCGCGGATTCCCACTGTCATCGTTTTCCTTCGACGTGCCGTTTGTCGTTTCTCGCCACTCCACGGCGACACAAATGGCGGTCTAGAACCGCGTCACAGTTTAGGCGTCTGGGCTGTATACATGTGGAGTGTAGCAGGTAGTCGAAGCGTGCCGGCGAGGGGTTCGGCGGCACCCTGGGGATTTGCCTCCCTTGCCCTTGCTCAGTCCATTGATCAGTCGCTCGCCGCGGAAGCGGCGACGCTGCGTGTACTCTTGGATAGTTGCCCAAGGGCGGTTGTGGTAGATGGGGGTTTTGTGCACTTGCCGTGCGAGGCATTATACCCTCTCACGTTGGTGCTGAAACGTGTGGGTACACAGCAGTAGTGTAGCTGCGCGCTCCAGTGCCAACGTGGATTACGGTAGCGGTCACTCATCGGACTCTTGAAATGGCTTGGTCTTACGCACGATGGAATCGAAACCACAGTAGACCATCACTTTCTCCAACCGGGAGTAATGCCCTGAAAACATGGCACTTGTTTGCTGTTATTGAGAAAAGACGTGAAATGATATCGATACGATACAGACAAGTACAAAAGCGTGATGAAGAGTGTGTGAATTCATTTTTAGTATGGACGATGTGAGCTTTGCAAGCCCTGCTGTGACTTCGTCGACTACTCGTGCCCGAAGAAGCGTAGAACTGGTACATTCCTGCTTCTGTTGTTACAATGCCAGTTCTCGAAGGTTGCCTCTAGGTGGATCCATGGCTCGTTAAAACTGGTTTCTATCACGGCTACTTACCCAGAGAAGATATCATTTACTTGCTGAAGAAACACGGAGACTTTATCGTAAGGACCAGCGAGGTGAGTTGTCTTGCCCACGGAAACGCCCTTGGCAGTACCAATTTCCTAAATTGAAGGTGGATCCAATGTCAAAGGAAAAGAAGAAGGAAACTGTCGTTTCAGTACTTATGGATCCAGATGGGAAGTTTGACGAAATGCCTTTTGGCGAAAGTCGCCAAGATATGGTAAATCAACAAAACATGTGACGATAACCATTTTTCTCGCTCTTTGGCTGTGTTCATACTCGGCATCGAATTGGAGGATCGATGAATAAGCGAATGGATTGGACACGGATCAATCAGATGGCAACTGAGGGTTCAGAGAAATGCCAGTCAACTGATTAGCGCCTTCGCAGACTTGCTCATTTGACGCTTCTCTAAGTGCGCGATTGGCCTGAACATCGCCTCATTTCCTTTCAATGGAGTGTTCATAGTTGGCGACCGCGCGTGCGATTGAGCGGTTAGGAAATTAGGCGATTAGGCGATACAAAAAAAGTACACGTATCGATTAGGCGAGTAGGCGATAAGAGAAGGATACGTATTGATTTGTTGCTCCGCCCATTGAGCGATCGCCTAATCGCCTAATCGCCTACTCGCCTACTCGCCTACAACGCTCTATGGGCGGAGCAAATCAATCAATACGTATGTAGTCTTCCCGCCTAATCGCCTTCTCGCCCAGTTGCTCAATTGCCTAACCTATACGTATATTTTTCACTACAGACTAGTCACCTAATCGCCCATCGCGTAAGTCGCACGTACGATCGCCAACTTTTGAACGCTCTATAAGTAGCAGGGCTGCGACTTTCTGGCTTTGCGGAAAGTTGACCGCTTTCACTTTCGCACCTCAGGAGCAAATCGTGACCATTGTCTTTTGGCAAACATTCACGGGGTGGTGTGTACCGTATGTACGGGGCATGCTACCGTGTCTGCAAAATTTTCACGTCACACTGCCCGTCGTGGGCCTTCTGGTGCAATGTGAGCCCTTTGTCGACTACATGGTGTTAATGGTGCGGTTCTTGAACTAGCATACGGTTGACGCTATTCAATATTACGGAAATGTGGTGTCCTTGACCCGCGTTAAATCGTAGTCTCGTTTTTCATCTAGCTGAGGCGGAGCTTTAGACAAGGCAAACTCCAGGGTGCAAGTTTCTCATTTTCCCTTAATTCCTTCTTGCCTCTCCTGCGTTCAGTCATAGAGGATGCCGTCGTATCAATCGGCGGCGTATGGAATTAGTCATAACAGTTTTTCACGCACATCTATGTTTAGGTACGCAATGTCATAATCTTCCACAAGAATCTGCGGTTTTACTTCGAGCATACGGTCACCTTCGAGTTTTTGCGGGACCTCTTCGACTACTATTCGTCTCACGCTGTACGCATCAATGATGTATGCACTTTCATAAGCATATTATCCACTCGAGACGCTCATGGCTTTTGGGGGCACATTCGACACAGGGCATTCGAGATGGTACGTGACACTAGGACCAAGGCCAAACTCCAGGGCTCTCCCAGAATCCTTGAAGCTTGGTCCTGTGTACTATAAGTGGCTCGTTAACCTGAGTGTCTCCCCCCCCCCCTCAACGACATGAGCACTCTGTTATAAACCACTACTTTTTTGTACCGTTTTGAGAGTATGAGTGTATGTCGACCGGTACATTAGCAAAGTGATAGGGACAGGAATCAGTGGTAGCACCCACCGCAAACGGTGCTAGGGAACACATTGGCCTTGCGTTATCAGTTGAGTGAGCTGTTGGGATTGTGAAAACCCTCCAACTGCCATATGATAATTTGAGCACACCCGGTCATTTTACAATGTTCTGGAGTCAAGCTCGGTTGTAATGCATATGTTGGAGAAACTCACCTCCGACACAATTAGGAACCTAGTTGCTGCTTGGAAGTCAATTTCGCGTCATTTGTCTAATGAGCTATCCAGGAACCAAATGAGGCGTATTTGTTCCAGATCCGCCCATTTTGCTACACGCTCCACCCAACATTTGCACTTGGCATCTCCTCCTTCAATAGTCTCGATCTACTACTACTCTTTTGACTAATATTTCGAACGCCCGTTCTCCTCTAATACAGAGAGCTTGCGCGTAGTCTCCCGATACACAATACGCGACGATACGACGCGATGGTTTGTGCTTCGTCGCTACCTAACCCGCATGTGAATAAATCACGTGCCTCTTAGACAGGCGAAGATTTTTTCAAAACCTTTCATGAATTGCCTCGGAGAATCGAATTTGAGATCGAAAAATGGGTAATGAGCCAGAGTGCTAATGCTGCGCAGGCCGTGCATGGAGAATGACGGTTTGACCACTCGACCAAACTTTATAGCTCGCTATAGAGGGAACACAGAGACTGAAAACATAGTGGATTGTGTCTTGAAGGAGGAGAGGCTAAATGCAGATGGTGGGTGGAGCGTGTGACAAAGTAGGCGGAGCTAGAACAAACACGCCTTATTCGATTCTAGATAGCCTCTTTAAAGCAGCAAAACTTCGAGAAAGAGGAACGGTCAATTCTGCTTCCCTGTTCCCCGCTGAGAATCTTTTTTGTGCGTGCGTAGCGTGCAATGCCAAAAGTGGTAAACGATTAATGTTCGATAAACCTTTTTTGGCTGTAGTACGAACTCCGGCGCAGAAACTCCTTCAGAAAGTGAGCATCCTGAAAGTGGAAATCACTAATGTGTTATCGTGATTGATACGTACATCGGGGTTGAATGTGGACCAGTCAATCTCAACTTCATTGCCCTGTTTAGCCGACGCTGCGCATAGTTCTCTCATCCAACTTCCCTCGGGCAATTGTGTGTTTTCTGGGGGCATGAGCGACAGTAGCGGTCGCAGAGTGGGTATTCACACGAATAACTTCTAGCGATTAGTTGACTTCACGTGGAGTTTCTACTGTAGCACTATTAGAGCGAGCTGGCACATTCAAGAAGGAATTTTTTATTTCCCGTAAACTCATACTTCTCATCTAGGTTCAGACCGCGTAGCGTTGCCCTCCTTGCGCCCTGATGGCACACCGTTCACTATTTTTTTTCGAGAGAAGCAACTTCAAACATCCTCTCAAATATTTTTAGGCGGATATTGTTCTCAGGCGAGGGGTGGGATTGGCAAAATGGGAAATACAACACAAGCACGTCACCATCGGAAACCTCTTGGGAGAAGGAGCATTCAGCGAAGTGAGGAAAGGAACTCTTTTGAGAACATCAGGACGCTCAGTACCCGTCGCTATCAAAACTGTTAGTCACCTTTTCTATTAGTGAAATTCATAAGTTAAAAATGACAAATAAAAGGCATTCAAAAAATTAGACTGTGGTGTTCTCCATTTCTTGGAACTGCTGGTCGTAGCGCGATACCATCTACAGTCTTATCCTACCTACAGTCAAATAGCATTCAAGCAAAAGGTCAGGGAGCGATCAACTGTCCGCAAAGCAAATACGCTGGTGTGCAAAACTTAAGGACGAACGGATAAAGTGATTAAACTCATTAACCATTTACATGAATATGAATGAATTGCGCGAACATGATGTTAAAGGTGCTTCAGTCATGCACAATGTACTGGACCTCATATACCGTGCGATCCGTCTCAATCTGGAGCCTAAAAGGGAGTGGCCACGCAGAACGAGGGTTTGGTGGGACAGGACAAGAGGGAGTGTACTGAGCAGGGAGAAGTTACTGTGGAATGTAGTGGTGTTCTTGATTACAGCAAGTCTCAGAGACAACACTAGGGTGACTTCACGCGAGGAATCACCGGGAAACTGGAAGAAGGAAGATGTGTTACGAGTGTGGTCCAGGAGTTTGGTGTTGCTCACAGCATTGTTTTGAGCGCAAGGAGAGCAATATGAACGGCAACCGCTGCTGTGCGAAGAAGAGAAGGTAGTGGATCATGAGCAACGCAGCAGCAGGTGATTGCTAGGTTTTGCAACAGGCAAAAATGGACCCACGTCAGTCACATGCTGCAGTTGCAAAAACATTTATCAGGATTGTAAGGCATGTAATCCCAGCCTGAACAGTGGCACAGTGACCGCATAGGGATGATCTCTCTACCGACCAACAGTACCTGGTGTTCCTTTGAAACCGCGCATCGGCGGGAACATTTGCTAGGTGCCGAGACATTGGGAATGGACCACCAATTTGGAGAATCGCGTGCTCTTCTCAGTTAAGAGCAAATTGAGTGTGAGTAGTGATTCTGGACTTACTCACATACGGCAGAATGGCAATATGGAATACACCCAGAAATATCTGTTTTCCAAGCGATATATTTGCATTAAGTTGCCGGAACGTTCTAACCTCCCTCTCGTGATCGCAGTACACTTTGTGGTCCAACCTGTTGTATCACTGTACTGTTCTTTTATGTGCATCTTTCCAGGTGTGCGTTTGATCCTAGCTTCACTAGTATGGAGCACAATGCGTGAGCGCATCGAGCAGCCTGGGTGGGAAACTCTTGGGACGTTCGCGATTGAATGAG